ACTCTCACATCCTGCACCTTGCATCCCCACATCTCACATCCCAGCATCCCCACAATCCCTCATCCCTGCACGTCCTCCATCAAAAGCCTCCAGTGCCTTCATGCGGCAGCCGCCCTCACTGCAGCCAGGCAGCACGGAGAAACGCTCTGAAGGCGTTTTGCGGGTCTGGGCAGAGCTGAGCTGAGAGAAGAGTCCGGTCCACCCTGAACTCTCCCCGCATCCTCCGGGAAATCCCCCGCTCCCAATCACCACGCATTCTACCCAAATCTGGGCCTTCCAGGTGCCCGGCTGCGTTTGTGTTTTGCTTTAAAGGCCACACAGGGCTGTGATGTTTTGGGCTCCTCCCCACTCGCCCCCAGCTCGCATCGTCGTGATGCTGTGCCCCGAGTGGGGGGAACTCTCGCACCTCGCTCAGCTCCGCCCCCCCCCCCCCCCCCCCCCCCCCCCCCCCCCCCCCCCCCCCACGCTGATTAGCAGTTGCTAAGAGAGCAATTAATCAACCCCCTCCTCACCTTGAGCTGGTAGGGGAAGGCAGCTGCCAGCCCTGCACACCCCCGCCGAGCGTTCGGGTGATGGATGGGGGGAGGAGAGCGCATTTCCCACCCCGCAACAAAGCAATAGAGGTGGCTGCACAGCATGGGACCCCCCTCCCCAAATCCCTCAGGGCCTCTTCCCCCGCTGGGGTCGGGGGGGCACAGAGGGCTGTGATGCTCAGCCCCACCGCAGCTTCCAGCCTCTCAGATCTCTCACCGCGCACTCCTTCCCCTCACATCCCCCACCTCCCCTGCTCACATTTCTGTGCTCTTTGAAAGCTGAACCCCCCCCTCTCCAGCTCCAGCACCGCCAGGCGCCACATCCCAACCCCACGTAACCGGAGCTGGGAACGGGAGACGATACTGCTGACAGCCGTCCCTCATCCCCTGACTGGGCACAGTGTCACATCCCCACGGCATGGCTGAGCCACAACACGGGCCTGGGTCCCACCGCGTGCCTGGGTGTCACCCGCTGGGGTCAGACGCTGCCCCCATACTCCTCTGGGGGTGTAGATGGTGATCAAACAGCCTGTATGGCTCGGCCCCATGCATTGCACCACAGCTGTCTCCCTCTGCCTGGGGGATGAACTGGGGCCAACAGCACAGAGCACAAAGCCGAGAGGAGCCCCACAGTAGGGGGTCCCACCACATCCAGTATCACCCCGCTTCCCCCTCAACCCAGGAACACTGGGACTCCCCCCACAGATGGGCTGTGAGGAAAGGACGGCTGCAGAGCCCTATAGGGCACAGCCACCTCCTGCCCACCCTGCTTTTAAAGGCAGCACCTGCACAGCTCCCAGTTGGGCTGACCCACTGCTCCCACGGCCCCACGGTGCCATCAGCCCACAACACAAAGCTGGGGAAAGGATACGACCCTCGGGCGTCTCAATACTCAGAGCAGCAAGCACCCTTCCCTACAGCTTCCCTCGCCCCCCCGGCTTAACAGCGTCCCGGGGAAGCCCCTCCCGCAGCCCCCAGAGCGGCTGCCGGCACGGCTGTCCCCGTTAGATGGCAGCAAGGAACCGTCGACTCCGGTCCCGAACGCACCATCACCCACCTCCCTCCAAACCCGTTAATTAAATCCGGCCGGGACACGAGGTGCAGCATCGGAGAGTGGAACAGCTCTGACCACCTACCCCCCTCCCTGCCAGCTTGGCTCTGCCCCCAGCCCCATCACCCCCAGCCCCACCACCTCCTTCTCCTCCTGCACCCCCACCTCTGCGCTCCCCCCATGACTCAGATGTGAGCAGCACCTGAGTCACAGCAGAAAGGGAAGAAAATCCCTCCGGTTCTTTTTTTAACCGGAGCTGAGAGTAAAAGGAAAAGCATGGAACTGTTTGGCCGGGGAGGGTGTTTGCTCGGAGCCCCGACAAGGAATGGGATGCACAGAGTGTCCCTCTGTTGTCACAGCAACCCATTCATGTGGGGGGACAGTGCTGCAGATGGCCCCTCCTGGGGACACAGAAGTGACCAGAGGAATCCCAGGCATTTATACAGACTGGAAGGAGCTCCTTGAGAGCAGCCCTGCAGAGAAGGACCTGGGGGTCCCCTGGGGGTCCTGATGGATGATAAACTGAACATGAGCCAGCAGTGTGTGATTACAGCTTGGAAAGCAAATGGGATCCTGGGCTCCATCAGCAGAGGGGTGGCCAGCAGGAACAGGGAGGTGATCGTCCCCCTCTGCTCTGCTCTTGTGAGGCCCCATCTGCAGTGCTGAGTCCAGGTCTGGAGCCCCCAGTACAAGAAAGACAGAGAGCTGTTGGAGAGGGTCCAGAGGAGCCACAGAGATGATCAGGGGGCTGCAGCACCTCCCCAAAAAGACAGGCTGAGGGAGCTGAGCTTGTTCAGCCTGGAGAAAAGAAGGCTGCGGGGTGACCTCATTGCAGCCTGCAGTACCTAAAGGGAGCCTACAAACAGAAGGGGAATCAAGTCTTGGAAAGGGGAGATAACAGCAGGACAAGGGGAAATGGTTTGAAGTTGAGGGAGGGAAGACTGAGGTTGGATGTCAGGGGGAAGTTCTTTACTATGAGAGTGGTGAGGTGCTGGAACAGCTGCCCAGAGAGGCTGTGGATGCCCCATGCACCCCTGGAGGTGTGCAAGGCCAGGTTGGATGGGGCCCTGGGCAGCCTGGGCTGGTATGAAATGTGGAGGTTGGTGGCCCTGCGTGTGGCAGGGGGTTGGAGCTTCGTGATCCTTGAGGTCCCTTCCAACCTGGGCCATCCTGTGACCATGGGCTGCTCCACACACACTCCTGCCCTATGCTGGGTCTCCCATCCCCAACCCTCTGGCAGTGCCCACAAAGATGGGTGTCCTAGGGGGCACTTCAAGGGACCCCATGTGCCCTCACCCCATGCAGCACCTCCCATGTTGCCCCCAACCCCAGGCTCCTGTGTCCCTGTTAGCTTTGGATGTGCAATCAAACACCTCAATTAAAAAAAAAGATAAGGCAGGCAGGCAGGGCCAGGCAGTGAGTCCTCCAATAACAACCCTTCACGTTCTCCTCTTCTGTGCTCCCAGTTAACGATTTACAGCATTTCCTCTCGACCTTTTTTACAAATCACTGTTGGTCCCCAGCCCTGGGGCTGCAGGGGGCTCTGTGTGTGTGTGTGTGTGTATGCGTAGAATAGGGGGGGACAGAGGTATTTTCTACACCCGGTGCTGCTGGGGAGCAGTGCTGAGGAGCTGCTGGTCTGCAGGAGGCCTGGAACCGCAGGGTCAGGCACTGGAAGTATCCTTGTGAGGATGCCCCCATGGGCATAGGGCGGCACAGGGCTGCTGGTTGGTGCCTCCCCTTCATGGCAGGGGCCCTGTGAGGTGGGATTGTGGCTCACGTGGCCGCTGCTTGCCACGCAGCTGAGCCCTGGCACGCTCAGTGCACGTGTGCCAAAGTGCGGGGGGGTGGGGGGGAAGACGGGAAGGGACTGGGACAGCGGCCCGGGGCTTTGTGCTCTGCAGCTCCGAGGAGGTTTCATGTTACTGGGAAGCTGGGATGGAGGGATGTTCCTGGACAAAAGGCCATTGTGCTCTGTGAGGCTGCACCGAGCTGTGGAGCGGCCCCAGCATGGCCCACAGCCCCTGGCAGGGGCCCAAAGGAGTGAACACCCCCCCCCCCCGGAGCACCCAGGGATGCAGAGCAGCTATCAGGGTGCCAAACACACCCAGCATGGGACCATGGGGTCCTGTGGGTGTCACGGAGCCAAAGCAGCCCCCCTGCTGCCCTCCTCAATCAGAATGTGTCCTCGGCATCCCAGGGGATGGGGACAGCAGGACAGACACCCACTGGGATCCAGAGCGGCACCCAGCCAGACCTGAGGCTGCTGTGGCCAAACGGCAGCGCCAGGTGGGGATGCATCCCTATGGGTGCCTGGTGGGGATGTGTCCCCATGGGTGCCATCCACTGATGGCATACAGGGACGTGGTGGCAGCCCAGGCATGGCACACACAGCCAACACCACTGCACATCCCCCAGCACCGCCGTGCCTTCACCCCAACGCTCCCTTCCCCTCCCAGGAGCTGATTACTGCCTGCAGGCAGCCATAAATGCTGGCACATCAGCTCGGGGGTGATGGCAGTGGGTTCTTCACAGCACCAGCTGCCCTTGGACCCACACATCTCCGTGCAACGGGGTCACAAGTCTGGCAAGACCCGGGACCAGGAGGATTAATTGAGAGGGCTGGCAGGGTGATGAACACACCCTGGGTGAACTGGTTCTGTCGCTTTCCAGTTACCCAACGGCGTGGGCTGGGATTTGTTTTCCTGAGCAACCCTGGAAGATCCGGTTTCCCCTTTCCCAGGGAAACGAGTGGGAATCGGGCACCCAAATCCCAAACACAGCTCAGCACCGGGATGGGGGCAATGTGGGATAAGGGGGCGTTGAATCCCCCCCCCTCCCCACATGGACACCCATCTGCACCACTGTGCCAATTTGAGAAGTTCCACATCGGCTGTCGGCACCAAACTGTAACTTTAGGAATGTGTCCCTGGAACGGGGCTGCAGGACATCACTGTGCGATGCTGGGGGATAAAAGCTGCCCTGGGAGGGTGGGAGGGGAAAAAGAGGTTTAAATGGATGAAAACTCACTCTAGGCGGCTCCACGTGGGGCTGGGCAGTGGGGAACAAAGCCCGGAGGGCAAACAAAGGCCCTTCCCCTTCTTGGTTGGGCTCATTGGGGGTGTTGGGGTTTTTATGGGGGGGGGGGGAATCTTTCCCATGCTCTGAGATGGGATGGAGAGAAAAACCTCATTTCTCAGTTCTTCACGTTCCCAAATCCCCAAAGGGATCAGAGCAGCCCCAAATGGGGACAACCCCCCCTCCAAGGAGCCGCGGGGCTCCTCCATCCACCTCACACCGACCCTATTGGGGGGGTCCTCCAGCAGCTCCGCCCCACACGCAGCTCCGGCCCCACAGCCCCGGCCCTATCGCTCCCCGCCCCACAGCTCCTCCCCCCGGCTCTCCGTTCACCCCGGTGCCCTTATTTAATTTCCAGCGCGTTTGGGCTATTTTTAACAGCTGGACCCCCTCCAGTAAGGCTGAGAGCGCACCTTCCTTCCTCTTCCCCCCCCCC